AACCCCGACGACCTGCATCATGCATGCGGGGAGGTCCTCAGTGGATTGACAATAGGGCTGTACGTGTACATGGACACGTTTCAAGTCGAAACGAAGAAAACGTGAAGTATTCCGTTCAATCAGAGGCCGTCTATAATCAGCACGCACCGCAAGACAAATAAAAGAACGATCAAATCACGGCACACGAGGACAGCAGTGGCAGCTCAAGAGAAACAATTGTGTTTTGGAAAACGGGAAAGTTGCTTGATGATGAAAAGGCCGAGACTCTGACTTGGTTGTGTGGCAGTGTGGCGCGGTGGTGTCACTTAGTGCCTCGCAGCAAGAATTTCCTGGGTTCGATCCCAACTAGGGCGCCTTTCTGCGTGGAGTTTGTATGTTCCATTCCTGTTCTCTCTGTATGGATTTCCTTCCAAATTGTCCAATTTCCTTCCATAGCTAAAATAACATACGCCGTTCATTTGAATTGGCCATACGTCCTAATGCTGAAATATTAAGAAATAAAACATGTCTGAAATGTACTCCATTGACATTACACATACTGTAGAAACATTGCACCCAACTGAGAAAACTTGGCAGGAACCTCCTGTAAAAGAGGTTTGAGACTCGTGAGGCTTTTCTGGGTAAACAAGTGTATACTGTAAGAGTAATATCAGAATAAGAATATGTATTCATACTGGAGGAATCCGATGAGCTATAAAGCTCTTTTTCACAGACGTTCAGTCGGGGCAGGTCAAAACGTTAAAACACAATTGTATACCATAGACTTAAAAATATATACTGTACAAAACTACACTTTTTTATCTTACCAGGTAAAGCCCAATGAGCTATTAGCTTATTTTTCAGAAGCGACCTGGCCACACATTATAGCTCAACGAAGTGGCTTATCACATGGAAATTTACAGCACCAAAATAATCAATCACTGTTGGAAACCCAGTGATTGAAACATGATGAAAACGTCTGTGAGCTATGTATACTATTCACAGTACACGTTACGATATCACGATATCGGATTCCCATAACTTTGTAATTGTATTTCACATATTATAGTAATGTATTACTTTCGCGGAATTGTAGTTTAAACGTACTTAAACTACAATTTACTCAACATAAGTTTGCCATCATTTAAACGTTACAATAAATCGTGCTAAATAGCACACACATGCTGTCTGTTGCACACGTCATACACTTGCCATTACGTCAATAACTCATTTAAACGATTTGCAAACCCACGAATGTAATGTATATACATTTTTATTACAACTTTACTTGTGACTATGTTAATTAACGAAAACAAAATTTCAGGATTTTTTTTACAAAAATCCACGACATTCACGATAGAACGACATTTTGCTACACCTTCGATACGATTAGCGTGGCTAATATCGCAATGTAAGGGCAATCCTATTATAAATGAAACGATGTGGTGGAAAGTAGATTTTTTTCTGGGTTTAACTGGGTGGCTCGTCAAAGCTGTAAGCTGGATCGGGTGAAGATCGAGGTGTCTGCTGAATCTATCAGCGAGCGACGTGGATCGTGAAGAGAGTTATGGGGCGCGGGAGGGCCCGGGATGGCCCGGGAGGACCCGGGAGGACCCGCCACCCACAGCCCATCGCGTGACGGCGCAGCGCCACGGGGCGCGCGGTCACGACTTAGGGGCCCAACGCGCCCCCTCCTGACGACGAGACGGGGGTCACCCAGACTCAGCACCGCGACCAGAGGAGACAAAGAAACCAACGGATACCCCCGGCCCGCTTTAACCTTCGAACAGACTGCTGGGGGCAAGCGCTGCTAGCGAGCATCTATTAAGGCCGGGACGGCACACGAGGGGGTGGGTGACCAGCACCATGCCCAGCCGCCTTTGTCTCCCCAGTGGCGATGTTTTGAACACCACACCAGGTACTCATTTTGAGGCTGAGTCGACCTAGACGGAGGCCCAGGACCGGTTCATGTAATCGTCACTGGTGCGGGCCGTGATCGGGAATCGAACTCGGTTCGCACATACACACACACACGTGTACACATATGCCAATGCTCGTGGAGAGCGCTATCGAAATGCCTGCTGGATGTAAACCGCTCACAGATAACCCGTCGTGCCGTACTACATGTACAGCCCTTTATCATCCACTGCTGGATGAGGGCCTCCCACACATTGAGTGTCGTGGGCGCTATTTGACCATGCCGTAGTCGTATCCATTTGTTGAAAAGCACCAATTGACAGCCACGGGGAGGGACGTCAGTGGTAAATGTTGTGAATGTCTTTGGCATGGATGACCCGAGGCAATGTACACAGGGCGTCGTTCTCACATGGATGCTGAGCCCAAAACGCCAAGCGGCCAGCATCAACCAGCACGATTAAATATTTGTGGGTTTTGCGCGATCGCGAGTTTGCTTGGCCATCACCGTGGATGTATGTTGAACTTCTTTCGTACCGTACTTTGCCAACGGTGCTAATCCGAGGTGCGAGGGAAGGACAACTAAACACAAAAACTTTTAAGAAATTAGTTTTCAATCGAGATTATTTAAAAGTGCATTGCTCCAGTGGCTTCCTAATATCGGAAGAGCGTTCCAGATGGCCACGAACGCACGCGATACAGTTGACCCGTCTTTATTCGATGGCGAGCCGAAAGCCTGGCGCGAGGATGACCGTAGTTTATCCAGGATATTTCTGTTGCGCGTCGTCGCTTTAACACATTCCTGCGGAGGGAGCTGGTAGGAACGTTGGGTTGCTCGGTCAATGGCCAGGGTCAACGGCGGCACCACCTCGTGGTGTATTCCCGCAAATGTGCCCGACTGTGAGGGCGGACACAAGCCGGCGTGAGTAGGTTAAACGTTGAGTTTTATAAGGGCACCACGGGGTGACCGGCCCCTCCCCACCCAGCCCCTCCCTACCCTCCCCACCCAGCCCCTCCCCACCCAGCCCCACCCCTCCCACTCCCCACCCAGCCCCACCCTCCCCACCCAGCCCCTCCCCACCCTCCCCACCTAGCCCCTCCCAACCCTGCCCCGCCCTCCCTCCCCACCCCTCTCCACCCAGCCCCACCCCTCCCATTTTTGGATGCACGACGGACGGACGGAAACAAAAATAATCCCCTGTGGGCTGGTGTAACCAGGAGGTGCCTACCAGTATGAAAACTTGAAGTTGGCGTGATGGTTTATGTTCCTTGACGAGACCAGGGAGGATTTGTGGTTCATTTGTGGCATGCACTTTTGCGTGTGTAATGAGTGCCACCTCGATGCACGCCAGTGCAGCTCAGCGAGCACTGGACGGACACGGTCGGATGTGGCCGCCACAGCGCGGTGCGAGCCACGGTCAGGGCTCCGAGGGGGCTGTGCTTTCCATCCCGTCCAGTGGGGGACACGCTGAGCACGACCGAAACTCAACTCCACGCGTTGCAAAGAGAGGAGGGGCGGCAGTGTTGGGAGTGGAGCGACCCGAACCAATCAAAGGCAAGGTGTTGTCACCACGACCCCGCAACCCAACTAGCCCAGGGGGGTCGCCAAACAAAATAACAAGAGTCATTATTTTCGAATTTGGTAACAAAAAAATCATATTTTAAGAGCCGCAATGCCATGTGAATACGAGACGTGGCTCCTTAATAAATAACGTCACGAAGCAGTCCTTAAAGAGCCGCATGTGGCTCAGGAGCCGGCTGGTTGCTGACCCCTGGACTAGCAAATGAGATACTAGTACAGTATTTGACAACCCTACGGATTTATGCGTAAGGTTGATAACAAAAAAACGCATTTTGGAAAACGCAGTGAGGTGGAACTTATTGTTAGACAACACATACAAGTAGATGGATCCACAAGCCCTATAACAGCAACCCAGGTGACTTGCCAACGAGACTATCCTGGTCTCTCTCGAGTTTCTCATCTGTCAAGAGTGACCCGGCTCACCAAAATGACAAAAGCAAAACAGATTTGTTTTATTTATTAAAGCAATGAAGCGAATATAAATCGGTGCAAAAAACAACTGTCACATGATACATCGAAAATATTTCAGAGCAGACAGCAACGTCATAGAATACACTTCTAAGTCGGCTCGGGCAGATTATTTATCTTGACTAATCATAGGACAATTAAAATGCTGATGCGCTCTGAAGGACGATCGCCCGAAACGTCGCCTACCAGATATATTCCCTTTTAAGGCCGTGCTATTGACGAACGTGTTGCGTCCGTTGTGATTTTTGTTTGTATTTGTGCACCACTGCGAACGCAGTACAATCACCAAATAGTCAGTAAAAAAAACAATGTTAATATTAATATGTGACCTCAGTTCACTGCGCGGCCCCATCCACCCACTAACTCCACTCGCTCCCAACGCCTTGCCACACGTGACGAGAGACGCACGTGCTCTCACTGTACCGGCACGTTTCAGGTTACGTTTATTTATTTATTTTTGTGTAGCCCTGTGAGCCATTCGGCTCTTAAATCGGGTGCAACCGCAACAAACAAAAAAACAAAAACACGAACAAGAAAACATCTTAAAGTGACGTGGGTAGATACAGTGCCAGTGGGGAGTGTGAGGAGGGGGGGGGCACGTACGGGGAGGGGCGGGGCATGTAATGGAGGGCACATAAAGGGGGGCACGTAATGGGGGGGGCACGTAATGGGGGGGGGGGCACGTAATGGGGGGGGGCACGTAATGGGGGGGGCACGTAATGGGGGGGGCACGTAATGGGGGGGCACGTAATGGGGGGGCACGTAATGGGGGGCACGTAAAGCGGGACACGTTATGGGGGGCACGTAATGGCAGGCACTAATGTGAGGGGGCCACGTAAGTGGGGGCCACGTAAGTGGGGGGCACGTAAGTGGGGGGCACGTAAGTGGGAGGCACTGAAGGGGGGCACTAAGGGGGTACTATGGGGGGCACGTAAGTGGGGGGCACTCAGGGGGGGGCACGTAAGGCGGGAGAAGGCACGTAAGGGGGGGGAGCTGTACCGTGCGTGGTGACGTCACCGGCGAGCGTCGCGTGCGCGGTGACGTCACGGCACAGTGAGGCGACATGGCGATGGCGCAGTAGTGGCGAGGTTGGTGGTGGTGCTGGCGGCGGCGGCGGCTTTGACACCGACACCGACATCGCGACCACCGCTCACTGACCACCGACACCGACCACCGACACCATCGCTGCCATCAGCGCTCGAGTCGGGGGTCGGTGAGCCCGGGGCTGGGGCGAGTTCGGTCGCGTGTAGCCCAGGGGTTTTACCTCGGCCGAGGCGCGAGTGTTTACTAACACGGGGGGCGGGGCCGCCGGGAGGGGATTGTTGAGGAGGAGGTTGATGATGAGAGTGGAGAAGGGGAGGATGATGAGAGTGGAGAAGAGGTTGATGATGAGAGTGGAGAAGGGGAGGATGAGACAGGAGAGTGGAGAAGGGGAGGATGATGAGAGTGGAAAAGAGGTTGATGATGAGAGTGTAGAAGGGGAGGATGATGAGAGTGGAGAAGAGGTTGATGATGAGAGTGGAGAAGGGGAGGATGATGAGAGTGGAGAAGAGGTTGATGATGAGAGTGGAGAAGGGGAGGATGATGAGAGTGGAGAAGAGGTTGATGATGAGAGTGTAGAAGGGGAGGATGATGAGAGTGGAGAAGAGGTTGATGATGAGAGTGGAGAAGGGGAGGATGATGAGAGTGGAGAAGAGGTTGATGATGAGAGTGTAGAAGGGGAGGATGAGACAGGAGAGTGTAGAAGGAGAGGATGATGAGAGTGGAGAAGAGGTTGATGATGAGAGTGGAGAAGGGGAGGATGAGACAGGAGAGTGGAGAAGGGGAGGATGATGAGAGTGGAAAAGAGGTTGATGATGAGAGTGTAGAAGGGGAGGATGATGAGAGTGGAGAAGAGGTTGATGATGAGAGTGGAGAAGGGGAGGATGATGAGAGTGGAGAAGAGGTTGATGATGAGAGTGGAGAAGGGGAGGATGATGAGAGTGGAGAAGAGGTTGATGATGAGAGTGGAGAAGGGGAGGATGATGAGAGTGGAGAAGAGGTTGATGATGAGAGTGTAGAAGGGGAGGATGAGACAGGAGAGTGTAGAAGGAGAGGATGATGAGAGTGGAGAAGAGGTTGATGATGAGAGTGGAGAAGGGGAGGATGATGAGAGTGGAGAAGAGGTTAATGATGAGAGTGGAGAAGGGGAGGATGAGACAGGAGGAGAGTGTAGAAGGGGAGGATGATGAGAGTGAAGAAGAGGTTGATGATGAGAGTGTAGAAGGGGAGGATGAGACAGGAGAGTGGAGAAGAGGAGGTGAAAGGTCAGGGAGTGTAGCCGCAGTAGCATAGAAAGCACCCACGACGTTGCCTCGCGGCAGCCTCTGACGCCTGTTGTGCATGATGAGGACCGTCTTGAGAGAGAGAGGGAAGAGGAGGAGGGAGAGGTGAGAGCATTAGCGAAGAGGATGGTGAAGCAAAACAATGGTAGAAGAGGAGTGGAGAAACGGGGACGTGAGATGAAGTGAAGGGGGGGGGGGGTCCTGTGTCGATGAGAGAAGTATAAGTCTGGTAAATGAACGAGGAAAGGATGGAGTTTGGGAGGTCGGGTGAACACGAATCAGAATCTTTATCCTGGAGAAATCCGATGAAACTATGAGGCGCTATTATTATTTTTCCTCTCACATGTCCAGTTCAGGGGCGGGTGAGAAAAATGACAGCAGCAACAGAATAATACAAAGACAACGCTAGGAGTTGAACAGGATAGGAGAGGTAAGAAAACGAGGAGGAGATGATGTGACAGCAGAAATCACCTGAGCCTGTTGCCCCCACTCCACCTGAGCGATTGAGCACAACGACCCTTGATTGTTGTGTTGCGATGTAATTGTTTTGCGCGAAACTAGGGCCCATATGTTACGGAAAATGCCCTTTATAAAATATTGGGCAAGTTCACTCGCATTGCATCAAGTCTAGAGTTGCTGGTTGTGTTGAACCGATCATTTGTACTCGTGTGGCCTGTTGTGTAAAAAAAAAATATCGTGTTACTTTAATACAAGTTGTGTACATGGCACGGTTGGCTACGTACGGTGTGAAAGAAGTTCAACATACAGGGTGGTCCAGATGTTTTGTGACCCCCCACTTAAAATCTCTGAAAAGTTATAGTTTTAAAGTGAGGTTTATTTAAAACAAAGGAATATGCAAAGAAAACATGTTTGGGGGGGTCACAAGACATCTGGACCACGCTGTACATACTTATAGGAAGGGGGCTTTATCTTGTGATTACACACAAGGTTCTATTATTCAAATGGCCACATTTCCGATGAGTTGACGATAAGAGAGAAGATGGAAGGATTACAAGGATTTGTTTTTCTGTTTAAAACAACACGATTGGAGCCACAAGCAGAACACGGAGACCGGGGAGAAGGGGAGACAGTCGCCGGTAGAACACCGGAAGAGAACCATTGATGTGTCAAACACAGTGATTTTAATTAAAAAACGGATGTACGCTCAAAGAATAGAACGCAAACGAATTATTTTTTGCCCCCCCCATCAACTATTTACAGGAACACTTAAAAGCTTCAAAATAATTGCTTTTGAAACATAAAATTATATAAAAAATACAATTATATAAAAATTGATTTAATTTAAATATATAATTTATCCTGGAGGAATCCAAAGAGCTATTAAGCTCTTTTTCGTAGATGTCACGTAGCAGACTGGAGAAGGAGGAGGGTCCGGCTACCTTCCAGCAGTGCTCACTAATTTTCAGTGGTGGGGTAGACAGACTTTCTCCGATGAGACATCATTCGTTGTGAGGACCGCCACACAGTTTTTGCACCATCGGAGTTGGGACAGCACAATCATGATAGGGGGGGGGGGATGTTTTCAAAAAATGTTTTATTGTTGGGGATGGGAGGGGGCCGCTAGGCATAGAGCTGCACTAAAGCTCACCAGGGGTCCGCCAGTATCCCGCGGGTCTTATAGTGAAGAACACTCCCCTACACGAAACTTTACGTCGACTGTCCAGAATGCGGACTTTCAACAGATCAATAGTATATACTATAGTGTAAACACACATGTTTTGGTTTCAAAAAACATCGACGTAAAAACATAGATGTTTTTTTTTTCCCCATCCCTAGATGGGAGTGGGACAGGTGTGTGGGAAGCTCGGGGAAGGTGTTTATTCAGTGACCACAGATACAGGGAACATACTTGGGCGGCTAAACCAGCATCCGTGTCAACCCATACGGTTTACCCCGTATTCTTGTACAGGGAAATTGAGTTTTTAGGTCCATACGGCGTACAGCCGTTTCAATACGGGCAACATTTGTTGTGTCTGATTTGTTTGTGTCTCTCCCTTGTGATGGGACTTTGTAGGATTGACGCTGATATGTATACGGGGCACAGGGTGACCAATAAGGTCTGATTTGGTCTGTAATAAGGTAGGGCACTGATAAGGGGGTTGACAGGTATGAACCAGGGTTTCGCAAACGCCAAGCCTCGCGACCCATTCAAATAACAAATTAACTCGTTTCACGTCGCGCGCGCCCAATTAACGCTACGCTAAGAGGCGATTTCAATTAAGATTAACCTATTTGTGTGTGTGCGCGCGTGCGCGCGACGTGCTGTGCGTGACTCGGCATTCATTGTTTATCGCGTCACGTGGGACGTGTTGAACAATCATCGGGCGCGTGCGGCGTGGGTCGGGATGATTGGAGTCTGGGGAAATCCTGGCCTACAAACGCTAAAGATGAGTTTGTCTCTCCACTTAACTCTGCTTTGTTTCGAGTGAAATTCGTCTGGCTGAGGACTGTGTGGGCTGTGGTCTGTGACGGCTTCAGGGCTCCTTCCTGACTGCCTGGGTACCCGCTTGCCCCCACCCCTTATACTCCATGCCAGCGCCCAGGGCAGCTCCGTGCTGCTTTATGGCCGGCATTGTGGCTGGGAGTGTGCAGTGCCATTCCGTGAAACGCATGGTTACTTTGCTGTTATTGAGCCTGTAAGTTCAGCCGGACTTGCCCGTTACTTACGTTAACGGCATTTGGCAACAAGAAAACTCGAACTATTGCACTTTAGCTCTTTATCATCATCCTCACATTAGGAAGCACGCTGTGCGCTTTACATATGTTATTATTTCGTGTGCCCTACCTTGCTGGTAAAACACTCTTCTTGCACGTCCGTTTCAGAATTGTAAATTTGCATTGAGTTATACTCAGGTGGCTTTCGTGCTGGCGAGGGTTCTGTGTTTATGTGAGACTGTGAGAGAGAAGATAATTTCCTGGTTACAGCTTTGTTACTGGGAGCCAGTTGACGCGAGCAACAAAGGAAACTTTATTTGAGACGAAAGCTTCTGCTGCAGCCAAGAAGCAATAACATTCTGGCCTCTGCCACAGCCCGATAAGCAACTGGGATTACTCAGCTCAGCGATATTAGTGCCAGTAAACAAGTGTTCCTTAGGTGTGCGGCGAGACTTGCATCAACTGCCCCATGAGCCATGCTAATGAGGGCTTACTGATATTAATCATCTGGATTGAAAACTCATTTTAATAAAACTGCTTTTTGTGTTTAATTTGTTGACCTTACCCTGCACCTTTGATTAGTACGGTTGGCTACGTACGGTGGGAAAGAGGTTAAACATACAAACATTCACTCTAAACCATGTAAAACCTGGTGGTGACGTATAATCCCTTGATAATGATAAGTAAAGTTCTAAAGCACGATTATAAATATGAAGAAAAAAATGCAGTAGAACAATGACTTGGGAGTATTTTGTCTAAAAAATGTTCATCACAGATTCAATTGAATTTGAATATAAATGAAGGTGGAATTTGACCATCCGGCTGTTTGGGTGGATAACGTTTGCCAAGTGCTCAAGATTTGACCGCTATTCGTGCGCGACTGCTCAGGTACTTCCACCGCCGTCATCATCGTTCCTCCCCACGTGATCCCGAGTCGCGCCACCTCCCCGTGTCGTCGTCCTCACCGCCGCCTCCTGGGCCGCCATCGTCTTGCGAACTAACGCCGGCGCCCGAGAGCGCGTGGGGGCGGCCAACACCATCTCCGCCATGGAGCAGCCGCAGGAGCCTCCCACAGGGAGCGGCAGTGGCGGCGGAGAGGACAGCGGCGCTCGCCACCTCTCCCTCGCCGTGTTCCACAACGTTCCGCCTGCCTACATCCCCGAGGTGGCCATCGAGTGCCACTACTCACTGGCGCCAGAGCTGCACCCACATACCAAGGACTGGGTCGGCATTTTCAAGGTCTGAACGACGTCGCCGGCCCTGGATGTGTGGGGATAGGAGGGGGGGGGTAGGGGGGAACGTGTACAATCCACTGCTGGATGAAGGCCTCCCCCACGTCGTGGGGGGTCATTGTGTTTCTTGGACCACAATTCACTGTGGTGGCCAGTGCAGGTTGGTTAAGGCAAGCAGCCCATGACCGCCTATTTATGCTTGGATGTTACTCATACAGACACAACCCAAAATCAGCCCTGCTTTGGCTTCTGAGATTTGACGAGGTCAGGCGCATTCTGGGTGATATCTTCACCATCGGTGATCAGGAGAAAAGACAGGCACTGAAGTGAAAAGCGTCTCAGCAAGTCCCGTTCGGTTTTGGAGACCATGGCACATGGTAATGGGGTGTGTGTGAACGCATGCAACGCATCCACTTACCAGGAGCAATGCAACGTACAATGAGGCTAGGACTTCCAGATTGGGCTGCAGAACTATTTTTTTGCAGCAGCAGGATCTGTACGACAGTGTAGTGCGCAGGTTTGCGGCAGCGCGGCTCCGTCACCGTCCCCGGGTGAAAGCGGCGTCTCTGCTGATTGATGCGAGGCTGTTAAGGGTAACGGCGTGTTACTGCGTGGCTGCTCAGCGCAGAGCTACGGCACGCTCGGCTTGATGTAGGGGGGCCCTAAACGCGACACACAATGGATGCCGCCAGCAGACAAGACGCTGGGTCTATACTAACAGCACTGTTAAGGATTCCTTTTTTTTTAATCTAAAGGTGTATGAGTGTGTGCATGTTCATCTGATTACGGCAACGTGAAGAGCATTTGTGTTAAAAGCTGGGGAAATTTTACGAGGCTTTAGCCGCGCCCAACATTTGTTTTAAACTCGCGATATTCCGATCGCTATCTCCGTGGTGGAATTGCCGTGGGTGTGGTTGGGATGTAACGAGCGAGGTAACGGCAGCCATAATGACTTGCGGCTTGAATTAAAATGATCCGATTGTACCCAACGGTTGGATTTATTATTTGTTTTGCAGCACAATGAGACGCTTTTAAAAATAACGGATGTCCGTCGTTTTAACTATCTAACTAGCTGCCTTTCTGCAATTTCGCTTCAAAAGGATTTTCAGCCTATTGCCAAAATTATACACACAAATTACGTACCCAATCGCAGTTGTGGAGCTGTTGACACAAACTTGGTAGAATTAACTTTAATGATACTTCGGTCTCCATTTATGCTTCTTGGGAACTTTGCTGTCAGACATCTAGACACGAAAGGAAATTGTCATTGTGTGTTCACGTGCGCGTGTTGTTGTGTGTTTACCTATGTGTGTATTGTTCGGTAATTTAGTGGTTTAGGGTAATTGTGGTTGCGTGGTTGTGATGTGTTTGGTTATTGAGTTGTGGTGTTTGTAGTGGTAATTGTAGTTATACGTTAACCTGTGTGTATGTGTGGTGCTCGGTAATTGAGTCGCAGTTTACATGGTGTTATGTAATTATGTTGCTGTGTCCATATGTGTATGTGTGGTATTGGCTAATTGAGTGGTGGTTGCATGTGTAGTGTAGGGTAATTGTGGTAATATGTCCATGTTTGTGGAGTAGGCTAATTGTGGTTGTGTGCCCACGTGTGCGATGGTGGTGCTGCTGGGGAGCGGTACGAATCCAGCGACCTGAGTTCTGTTCCCGCTCACGGCTAACACCAGTGACGATTATTTGAACCATCCCTGGGCCTCCCTTAGGTCGTCTCACCCTCACATGAGTACCCTGTGTGCTGTGTAAACATCATCACTGAGGAGATAACGGCGGCGGGGCGTGGTATTAGCCACCCACCCCCTCATGTGCCGTACCGGCCTTTTTAGGTGCTACTCGGTAATAGCACTTGCTCCTACAGTCTGTTAATGCTATACGGGGGATCTCTGCCTTTGGTGGTGCTGCTGCTGTTGTGCATGGTACAGGAGGGCTGGCGCCGCCCCAGGGACTACGTCACCTTTCTCTGGTCTCCGCTGCCGGAGGAGCGCGGCGAGCAGGGCAAGCCTGCGGAGTGCAGCGTGCAGTTCCAGGGTCAGCAGCCGTCACTGCCGCTAAACCTCCCACACTGCAAATACTACGCCACGGTGGCGAGATGTTAACTACCTCGCCTGGTGTATACAGGAGGTCGTGGGTTTGATCCGCAACTCTGACGCCTGTTGTATATTTGGAGTTTGCATGTGCTCCCCGTGGCCGCATGGATTTTTCTCCGGATCCTCCGATTTTTCCCTCCACATTTATAAACATGCGTTTAGAGTATTTGGCTGCTATAAATTTCCACGTGATAAGCCACTGTCTTGCGCTATCATTTGTGGCCAAGGTGCTTCTGAAAAAGAGCTATATAGCTCAGTGGGCCTTACCTAGTAAAATAAAATAGTTTAGTTTTTAGTTTATTTTTACTACGGCACAATACAGCACCTGTCATACAACCCCTCTAGTACAGCACCATACATCATCATCAGCCATGATCAATCCACTGCTGGGTGGGAGCCTTCCCAAGCCATAGCTATCCCTCGTGGTCCACCAATGCAACAAAAGCTATCTGGCTCCTGCACTGGAGCGGCCTTCATCGCTCCGTGTACGCCATGGACATTGTCTTGAGCGTGTTCCCTCCTGTGGATGCGACTCCCCTCAATAGTCTCGATCACCGGCAGTCCTTGCGTGTAACCGTGACGCGCCCTGCCCAAGCCGACAGCACCCTTAACAGTACCCATAATACAGGATGTTGACACAGCACGTCGCATTTCACTAGCACTCACGCGTAATTTAAGTAATGTACTGCATCAATAGCTAAGTGGACTTCCTTTCGAGGAGAAAATATTCTTTACATTTGCTGCTTTAAAAAATTGTAAATCCTGTTCAGAACATGAACAGGTGCTTTTTTGCTGTAAATGTGACAAATGACAGTGCACATTTGCATGTTAGAGAATGGCCCACGGAAGTGGATATCTCAGAGCTACCTCTGAGATCCCTTAAAACGATCTCTCCTCCACACAGTACGATGGGGGGGGGAGGCAGCACATTAAGACCACCGTGTTGGTTGTGACTCATTGTGTCGGAACGCCGTGCCTCTCCCGCTCTCTCTCCCCCCGACCCTGTCCACCCCGATCCAGCGTACTACCTCCCGCGCGAAGATGGACACAGCTACTGCTTCTGCTACGTGAGCCACGAGGGCCGCGTGTGTGGCGTGAGCACGCCCTTCCGCTTCCGCCGGCCCCGCCACAGCGGCCCCGACGAGCTGCTCGCCATGGAGGAGGACGCTCTGGACGTGCTCGTGGTCACCACGCGCTCCGAGCTGCTCCAGGTCAGCACCGATGACGCTCGCCGCTGATCCCGCGCAGCACCGTCGACTCGCGCACGTTGCAGCATTGGCGAGCGTTGCGAGGATTCCAATGCTTAACGTCACCTGTGTGATCCGCACGCAGATGTCCGGGTTTACGTATGCATGTACGTTGGAACTTCTTTCGCGCTGTACGTAGCCTACCATGCTAAACGGAGGTGATCAGCTTGAGCAGTGGTTAATTCAAGCAAGTTCATTTGCATGCCGGGCCTAGGATACGTATCATCATCAGTTCACTTCATCGTGCAGAGAGCGGATCATTCGATCTTCTGACGGTACCTAGGGATTCACCACAGTTGTCTTCTCTCACGCAACACCAGAAGGGGGCATTTCTTTATACCCTGTTAAAATGTTAATTGCTCCCAAAACCCAAAGTTCCTTTCTCACAGCTGGGGAATGTGCCAATGGGAATGGTGACGTGCGCGAGCAGAAGCGGCTACTGGAACTGCAGGAGGAGGGCGCGGAGCTGCGGCAGTTGCAGCTGGCACTGGAGGAGGAGCGGGGAGAGCTGCAGGAGAAGCTGGTGACGCTGGAGGCGACGCTGCGTGACGAGAAGGATGAGAGGGACGTGCTGGGCCAAGAGCTAGCGGTCAGTGTCCCGGCACGGCCATGAGATGGCAGTTCCACAAGCGGGTCCCCCAACCTGCAATTTAATATTTTCCCCCTCGTACGCTTGGTGGATTTTCTCCAGGTATTTCGGTTCCCTTTGGCACACAGAGTCCTACTTCAGAAGGAGTTGACCAAAATAAACACGTATTGAGTCTCTGGCTCCTTCCATATAAATGACAGTATTCTTAGTATTGCTCCCACGGGCCCTTTAACTGTGGCACTGACAGCCTTTGCGCTCCGTGACCCTTAATGCACCAGCAGACCATTATTCCTGTGATTGTATCTGAGAGACAGTGTTACGTCTCTTAGTTGTTCTCGAGACGTCGGTTTCCTTTGGATTGATAAAACCGTTTAACTTGCAATCAGTTTGATTGATGGGCTTACTGCCTATATACATCCTTTAAACTTCTCACGGGCACTTACTGCCAGACCGTAATGTGTGAACAAAGCTGCAGACATTACAAGAGGTGCATTGGTTAACCGGGCGGTGGTAGCACACACCTGTTAATCCAGCACTCTTGGGGTTGGTGGATCGCATAAATGTTGCAAAACGCCGTCCCCAGGGACATCTAGGTGCCATACCCTGGCATGCCAGGAGAACGCGGTACAACTAAGTGCGGCCCAATGTAATCTGTCCCTTCTGTATGGGATAGAGTGTTGCCTCCTCACGTGTGTGGGTTTTCTCCGGGTGCTCCGGTTTCCTCCCACATGTATAAACACTCATTACTTGGCTGAAAACATATCAATATATAGGGTATCGCAGAGCTTGGGCAATTGTTGGCACTGGCTCACTGCCTAGCTGCCTTCCAACTTGTCTGTGGTTCCTCAGTGATTAAGATTTGTTTGAATGGCACCGTATGAAACTAAACATTTTCATTGAGCAGCTATTCCTGGCTAGTGATAGTGGCATGGGGGACGTGCAAGGGATGTGGGCCTGGGCTGTTAAGTCTCGTGCGCACCATGCATTGGAAAGTTCTCGCACACACACGCACACACGCAGTCAGTGCTCATGCACCCAGGGCCCTGACGCTCTACTGTCGACTCTGCTTTCCACTCCTTACATGCGCATGCATGTATACAAAACTCTCATACAGAGAGGCCCACTATTCCTCACCGCTAGACTCTCCAGTGGGCACTTAGTGACAAGTCTCACCTATTGCCAATGCTGAAATTTGACACCCTGCTGCAGCAGGGGTTTGTGCATTGACCTGACCATGCTGAGCAGTCTTGGCGAAGTGCACTGCTCTGGCCGTGCGTACTGATCTCACACTGATCTTACCGTGCTGAGCAGTGTTGGCGTGTGCACTGCTCTGGCCGTCCGTACTGACCACGTTGTGTGCCCGGGCAGGCCCTGCGTGTGCGCGAGGCGGAGCTGGGAGCGGAGTGTGAGCGAGGTCGCCACAGCCAGGAGGAGGCCCTTGCTCGCTTGCACCTCCTGGAAAGTGACATCGCCGCCCTAAGCAGCAAGCTCCTCGCCAAAGAGACCCACATCGATCGGTACCGCTCGCCCACCATGGCGCCGTCTTCGTGACGACGCATAACCCACAAGCCCACGTGGCACCGGCACCGTAACCCCGTGCAGGGAGTGTCATCACCGTCACGGCTATGGGGATTCCATCGTATTTACTTTTCGCCATTTTCTGGTGGTGCTATCGGCGTCATGTCACGAGACGGAGAATCCATTCGGAACTCTCAAAGAACCAGCGCAAACCTTTCAGCGAAGCGCTTGCAGAAACGGATAACCACAAAGATACCTCTAAAATTCCTTAAAGAGATCTCTGATCCAATAGTAGGGGGTAGCGCATTGCCTCCTGCCCTCTTACAGAGAGTAAACATCATCGCATGATGGTGAAACTGGTGTTTAATCTTAATTTCGTAAAATTTAAGTGCAGAACAAACTTTAGTGTGATGTTTTTTTTTGTGAACACTCCTTGGTGACCAGGGTCAGGCCAGCAACCCTATGTATGTATGTTGAACTTATTTCGCATCCTACGTAGCCAACTTATTTTTTGTCTTTAAAAAAGTCCAACGAGCATCGCAATGGCTTTAGCACGTGGCTTCCTCTCTTTTGCTTCAGCTTAAAAGATCAACTGAGAAAGCTGGGCGTGGAAAACGAGCAGCTGCGCAGCCAGATGAAGAAAGTGCTTGAGGAAAAGGAGCTGTACAAGGTAACACGTGGGAGTTCCTCAACCCACGCGTCTTTGCGATCCATCTTGTCCACGGCGCGCGTACCGTTTAATTGAGAAGACCGCGACTGCGTTGAGGATGTTGATCATCTGAACGGCGACCACGTCTCTAACCCCCAGGAGCACCTGCGCGGCCGTGAGGTGGAGGAGAAGGAGCTTCTGGAGGAGTTGGGCGCGCTGCGGGAGCGCCTGTCCGTCCGTGAGGCCGAGTCCGCCAGCTGCCACCAGGAGGTGTCCTCCTGTCGCGAGCAGCTGGTGCAGGCGGCACGCGACCAGGTGGGCCTCCCACACATGCAGGTCCGGCACGGCCCAGCACAGACTGGGGGAGGTGGAGGTTAATCCTCGTTAGCAATCGTCGCCACCACCGTACTACAGCGGTGGTGACCTGTACAATAGGCCCACAGTCCAGTGGGTCGCCCTTTTTAAATGTCAGGGAGCAGAATGCCTTGTTCGAGAATGCTGTTGATGGAGATGTACTCCATAGATGTGTTTAAAACACAATCATGTTTATTCATCCGGATGAGTGGTATCATGGTTAGAGCACATGACTCGTTTCTTGGCCTGAAGTAGACTGCAGATTTATCCCTCCAGGTCACTAAAATCAGGAACCAATTTGTTGGAAGGAAATAGTCTGAAATTTGGAATTTCAACCACTGGCTCATGCCCACTCAGAGAGACGAGCAGACATCAGATTTTGGCTTTGAGATGTAGGTGCACACAGTTACGGTTTAGCTGCCTGTTAAGTGGTCAAGTAGCTAGAGGGCTCACATGCGGTAGCGGCGGTGGTGGTGGTGGTGATTGTGTGTGGCCCAGGAGGAGCTGGCGCGCGTACGTGAGGAGCTGCGGGTGGCACTAGACCAGCTGGGCTCGGGCGAGCAGCGCCTGGTGCTGCTGGGCGAGGAGCTGGCTCGCGCCGCCTCAGCGCGGGACAGCGCCATCGCCGAGCTCTACCGCCAGCGCCTCGACGGCGACAGCGTGCGCGGGCAGCTGGTGGCGGCGGAGCGCGCGGCGCACGAGAGCCGCGAGGCGTGGGAGGTGGAGCGCGACGCCCTCGTGCACCAGGCGCAGGCGAGGGCCCCGCCCGCGGTCGGTCGCGTTGTTGAGCCGGGCAAAGGAGCACTGCGGGGCCCAATGTTCCTGTGCCACCGAGGGCCATGCATGATATGAAGAAAGATTTTTTTTTTTTCATCTCTTGCCCCAATTTTATCCGGATTATGCTATGATTTTATGACGCGAATTAATATTGCATTCCGTTCACTCGCGGAACACCGCGTAACACAGGGCTACCTCTGAGATCACTTCAAGTGACCCCTAGTCGACACTGTAAGGGGGGGGGGGGGGGCAGCATATTCCCCTCACTGCCACACGCACGAGTCATTTGAATTCTCAGAGCTGGAATTTTTGCCAAATTAAGGGCAAAACCCAGTTAAATGTGATGGTTTTATGAGCAATAATAATTGCTCATAAAACCATTGGATATCAACTGGGCACAGCTGATAATATGGTTTAACCATAGGTGGCTGCCTGGATTAAAACTCAGGATCTTTGGTGCTGGCTATGAGCTTTGACCTCAGAATTCCCCTGACCACGTTGGCTGACCACGCGGACGAAGAGTTGCGCACATATTCCTTTATTTGGGAAACACTGGTCTGTGTTGCAGCAGTCGATTAAACTCATAGTTTTGGCATACTTTTCTATATCAACTGCTTGCATGATCTTTAAGGAAATTAGACTTGCCATATGAGTGTGATTAATGCAAAAGCTCCTCACTTGGCTAGTCACCTTCCCTGGACTTTGCCAGGTATTGTGAGTTAAAGATACGAGTGGACAATTGACCTGCCCTTATAAGCTGGCTTCATGGGATATCTGTGTGTAATCCATTTTTTCTATAATATTTGTTTTTTTAAAATCCAACTAATGCACCCCTGTATTCTCTTTAAGCCAAGATCCATGATGTCTCGTCTCTAAGCCTGTGTGATAATAATATACAGGGTTGCGAATGTCGGATGAGGAGAGCACCGCTTCATAACTGCCCCTCTGTGCCACGTCTCGCTCTCAGGAGGTGAAGGATCGGGTGGCGGGAATGTCTGAGAACATCCACAAGCTGCTCCAGAGCCTGCAGGAGGAGCGCCTGCTCAACAGTGGGCTGCAGCGCAAGCTCAAGGAGACTGAGGAGTGCGGCAAGGTGAGATGCTTCCCATGGCGGTGCAAGGTCCAGCAGCGGTACGAGGGCGACTCATGAAGAGTGGCCTCTTTTGGGCTATTGCTTCCCCACTAATTGGGCTTGGGCTTAAGTGCTGTACTTAGAGCACACATTTAAAACAAAGTGCTCATCCACTTTTACAGTCTTGCAGATAAATACATAATATGCCTGCAGCTCAGTGGCATAGCATGATTGGCATGGACTCTCGTGCAAGGAAAGATCTGGGGCCGATCTGTCCAGTTTCCCCCCTCTCCCTAGCTCGGTGCCGCAGGCCCACGCGTCCCAGTGCAGTTGCACGGCCTACGCACTCAATAGCTACGCCACTGCTGCAAGCGTTTCTTTGCTTTTTGTTTAGCTTGGAGAAATGAGTAACGACATGCCGGCGTACAAACCCGTCATGTTAGATAAACGCCGAGTGCATAAAGGTGCACACTAAGAGAACAGCACCTAGCAGGAATAAATCATAAGAGCTATGGCAGGGCACGGCATAGGATGACTACGCTAAGCATGCGGGCTTTCCCTCGAGAGTGGAGAAATGCGCCACACAGGGCAGTGAACCGCGAAGCATCATTTAATGGGTCGCCAGCTCTGGTCAGGGGCTCATGGCGCCACGGGAGTTCCCAGGAGCCTCGGCGCCGTTCCTGTGTTCGTGAAGCGAAGAGCGACGCTGGCGTGATGCCCGGGCGTGTGCGGTGCGGCGCAGGTGCAGCTGTCAGAGAAGCTGCGGGAGCTGCGCGAGATGAAGGCTGCACTCGCCGTGCTGCGCAATGAGAAGCAGACGCTGGAGGTGGACAGACAGGTGCCGCCGAGCGGGACGGGGGGGAGGTGGTGCACGTTTGTCACGACGCTATTTGAGCTTTGGGCCCATGGAGGCGTTGATGTGCCCGGCGGGCGCAGCTTGTGTTGGTGGTTGGCACGGTTGGCCTGCAGGGCAGGGCATCGTCAGATCTGCGGTTTGTCACTTCCAGCGGGAGGGAGCCACAGTTTAATGTGAAAACAGTGTTTAATGTTTAATAGGTTGACTCAAAGATGATTTATTGTTAAACAGTTTTTGCATTTTATATATGGCTCTTCATGGTTTCAACTTAGCGTGTCATTGAAATTCTTGTTCTGTCCTACTGGTGAATGCATTGGTATATGATTTTCATTGGAACTAGCAGACCCGTTATGCTTTCATTTGATCAACTAGTTAAATGACACTACTATTTATATTTACATATTTGACATGGTCGCTGTAAAACTTCGAGGATTTCAATCCACTTTTCTCACAGAGACACGCAGATGTTCATACCTTGAGTGTTTCGGTTTGGAGAGGCTGAGCAGACACAGGAGTCTTCCGTTTCCACGCCACGGCCCACAACCCGATCTCTTGGAACTGGTCAGAAGACTTAACAGGAGCCCCATGTTCTGAGGTGACCGGGTGGCTCAGAGGTCAGAGATCTGGGCTGTCACCATTGAGAATCCATGGGTTCGAATCCAAGCAGTCGCTTGTGATTAACTCAGGTTCCTAGTGTCACGAGTCGATAGTGTCAGCCCACTCGCCTGCGACTGCGAGAAAACCCCATTAAACGTGGTTCTCAAAATTAATTTTGCCTAGGTTACAGCTCTGAGAATTAAAAAGATATTGGGATAACATTGGGAGAAAAGTAATAATAATCAAAAAGAGAGGAGTGTCCATCGAGCCTTGCAACGAGACGTGGCGACCGTGTTCTGTGCTGCTGCACCTCCCACCCTCGTCCGCGTGGCCGACAGAGGCTGCAGGAGCACGTGAAGGAGCTGGAGCGGGGCGGTGAAGCAAAGGCGGTGGCGGCACCAGTCGTGCCCCCCCGTGCCACGCCACCCTGCCCGCCCCCCGGGGCCCCCGGACCCCACGGACCCCACGGACCCCCTGGTGCCCCTGCAGCCCAGCCTAGCATGGGCGGCTACCTCCCGGGGCCCCTGCGCCCCTACAGCGGTGAGCATCCCTCATAAGAGGCTCAACCACCACGTATCACGGCATTTACAAGTTAGGAAAAACCATGCATGTGCCTGGGTTATCTAATGATTTCCAATGTGTTTGTCTTCAGATTTTAAAGTTACAGGCACATCATTATAGTGCCTTCATAAATCACTTCTGAGACTAACGTTATGATATAGGTCAGTTTCATATGTTAATCATGTAATCGGTGGTATCAAGAACTTAAATCAGAATTCGTGCATGTAAAGCTGTCTTCCCTTTATCTGAACTGTCATTGTAATGTCATCATAAAAAATAGTGTTTCAAAGTACTGCATGACACATTGATATTTTATATAATATCTATTTCGATACTTCAAAAGACATGTTTCGGTTGAATGACAATGAATTACGTATTACATATTCTATGTCAGATGAACTTTAACATCATTGGGTCTGAAGAGGTGCACTGAGGAGTGCTTTGTGTTTACTGCACAGAGTGCTTTCTGCACCAGGGAAATATAATTATAATTTATAATGTGCGGCCCTTTATCAATCCACTGCAGGATGAAGGCCTCCCCCACGCTGTATTGGTCATTGATTTTTTGACCATACATCACCACATTGGACAGTGTGGGTTAGTGAAGGGGGGGGGGGTGGGCAGAACCGGTTCAGATATCACTCGTGGCTGCTGTTAGTTGCGGCCTGGAATTTAACTTGTGTTACCGGGTTCATAGCGTTCCACTCCTTACAGGGAAGAGTCTCTCATTTAATGATGCTGTGCAGCACAACGTCCACAAAAATGATAGAGACATGCTGACGGACCGGCCTGTTGTGCATATATATGAAGATATTGAATTCAAATGCATACATCTGTTTCCTTGCTCTCCTGTGGTTTAGGTAAGTGTACATTATTTAGCCTATCTTATAGTTCACAGAAACATTACAAAAATTTATTTCAGATTTATTCTGTATTTCACATTTAAGGTTACTACAAAACATCGCTTTATTCTCTGCAGACATGTCAACAGGTTCCATCGGGGTCGCATTATTGGTCACGTTTTTCCTATTATTGTGTTGTTTTCTCGGCGGTTTGTTAAATTATCCCAAGTTACGCGTGTGTGTTTCATGCAGAGAGCTGCACAGAGAAACCGGCTGCTGTAAAGGAGAAACCGCCTCTGGAATTAGGCGGGGTAGAGCGCAAGACCCTACAGGACCTGGAACGAGTGCCGGACGTTACTGCCGCGCGCCCAGCCCCAAGGGGCGCCCACGTAGTGTGCAGCCAGCCTGGACCCAGCTCCCCCCGCCTTGACTCCATGTTTGACTGGCCTGACTCGCTGGCGGTATGCTCGCCCTGCATCTCGGGCTGGGGTCGCGCGGTGGGGTCAGGCGGTGGGATCAGGCAGTGGGGTCAGGCGGTGGGGTCAGGCAGTGGGGTCACATGGTGGGGTCATTGTGGGGTCACATGGTGGGGTCGTGGTGGGGTTGCTTGGTGGGGTCGTGGGGTCGCGTCGTCGGGTTGCACGGTGGGTTGCTTGGTGGAGTCGTGGGGTCACACGATGGGGTAACGGGGTGGGGTCATGTGGTGTAGTCGCACGATGGGGTCGCGTTATGAGGTCAAGTCGTGGGGTCAAGTCCTGGGGTCACATCGTGGGACCACGTTGTGGGGTAGCATGGTGTGGTCAGGCAGTGGGGTCCTCGTGGGGTTTCGAGTGGTTGGGTGACATGGCAACGTCGCATGCCTCTGTGGTAATGTCATCAACTGCAGAGACTTTTTCGTAGCAAATTTCACTGTTGAGTAAACATCTGATGCTATTTTAATCAAATTTTGTTTTTTAAATTCTTATAAAAATGCACATGATCATGAGATACAGCCATAATTACCACAGCAGCAAGCACAACGGGGTGTGTAGAGGTGCGAACCAGTGTTTGGGTATAATGGCGTATGTGGGGGTACGATAGGGGGTGTGAAGGAAGGTATATGGAATATGCTGACCTTTTAGTCTGCTGTTAATGAGCTAAAATCTCAATTTTCCCATTGAGGACAACATTTCTCCTTCAAGCATCAAGTTTATATTTGTTTAATCAGGCGAGAATTCAAGAGGCAAGGACAGTCTCATTTCCAAGAATAACCTCCATAACCTGGATCATTAAGAAAGCATTAATAAAGCACGGACAGTGAATATCCATTGCCCATAATGAGAGTCTGTTATTGGTAGCATGGGATCATTTATGAAATCTTTTTGAGCATTACATGGTCCAGGTTGAAACACCAGAGTGATTATCCTGCACTGCACGTAAAGAGGTATTTGTTAGCAAAGCACGGTTGCTGTAATTTAAACATAGCCACATTTACATTATAAATATAGAGCAATAGACTAAAACGTAATGCCTAGTATGTAACATTGCATAGTCTGTGCACGTTTTGTCCAGGGTTGCTATGCTCGTGGTTTGATTAAAATCTGCGCAACAGGGCTTCGGGGATGAAGACGAAGCCATGAAGTTGTCGTGCTCTCCGCCACTTTCCCCTCTGTCACGACATCTGCAATACCTGGACTTTGAGAGCCTGGCCGCAGAGCCCCCCCTCAGCTCCAGGTCAGAGTCCACAGCGCACTGCCTCACTGACACTTGAAAGATCACTTCTCTCGTGTAAAGAGGAACATGGGTATGCCCACGTTGCATAATGTAACACATTTGCTGCTTTAAAAAAATTATGACTTGGTAATGGTGAAATTTACGATATTTTGAATCCATCATATGAGTTGTATGTTGAACCTTCGATTTATATATGATCTGTCGCTCACGTGGTTTGCATCATCGGCCATGATGTATTCGCTGCTGGATGAAGGTCTCCCCAACCTCTCGCTATATGACGTTAGCATGGAACACTGAACATTTTACCCCATCTGATGTCCGTTTCTCTTGAATGTCATTTTGATTTCGGTGTGTATGTGGTTTCTCTTCCGTATATGGTCGATGCGTCTCAGGGCTGAGCACAAGGAGTGTCCACAGTGTGGCATGGTGTTTCCTCCGGCATACGACCACAGCCTGTTTGAGAAGCACGTGAGCAAGCATTAGGCGGTGATGAACGGAGAGCACGTACTGCACCTTGACTCGCACAGACCTCGGCAGACGTCAGCCGCCTAGGTTCACTCCTCAAACGGAGGCTGAAGCTGTTTTTAATAGTTCCTTCATGTCACTATTGCTAAATGGGCAACGATATTTTAATCACACTTGTAACAGTTTTTTTGTTTTACTGTTTGGGGAAAATAATGATTACCTATAAAAGTCATATTTAACAAAGAAATTGCGTATTATTTTATTTTGACAAAAGCAATACTGTAGTACCTTTATGCACAACTAGCTGTAGACTTTTCAGCAACAGTTTTTCTCGAATCTGATCTTGAGGAGATGCCTTGTTTTGTTGTGTTAGTCATGTACTCTCTAGTGGCGTGGTCGTCCCGAGCATGACGATACATTTCAGTTGAGGTAACGCTTGATTTGTCCCCAACACCACCACCTTGGTCGTCCACTAGCAGTCAACAGTGGTAGGGGCTGCTTGTTTTCGGGAAGGAGTAAACTCATAACGCTTAAGAGAAACGTTCTGTATTTTAAGTGAAGCTGCTCTTAAATTGGCGTGGTGCATTTTTTGTGCATGGCTATGCTAATAATGTCACATTTGCTTACTGCCCACTTACATAACTATATTGAATGCTGTAGTTAAGTCTCTTTAAGTTGTTGTGGCATTATCTAACCTATAAGTACTGTAATCCAGCTCACTTGCAAAAAGGCCAATTTTCACTTCTCTTCAATTGTTTAAGTTGATATGTTTTAGTTTTAAATGTAACAATACACGTAGACATATGTGACATGCATTTCTTCCAGTGTGAACCACTGCTCTTGGCCGTGTTGCTTCCGAGCAATCCATTTAAAATGTCGTTGGCTGCAACGTGCTCATTAGGTGGGTAATTTGAGCTGCTGTGCAATTTATTGCTGATAGTTTATGTAGCATACTGTGTGTACGGTTGTACTGTATTCATACTGAAATAAATCAATTCCAGTAATCAATGTCTGGTAATGTTATTCTACCCGCAACGGAGAAGGTTGTAAGTCAGAACCGAGTTAGGGGTTGATCCATCCCAACTTGCCACCGGGGTCAATACGTTCCGTAACATTTGGTGGTAAGTTCACTGACTCGGCCTCTCCAAGGGAGATGAACACCACACAATGTGACTTTGAGCATGTGGTCACTATTATTGTCTGTTGCTAGTTTACCTAATAAAGCTTTATTGAGTCACATAACACATTTCTAGGAGGGTCCTGCCAAGTTTTTTGCAGTGGGAGGCGATGATTGCTATGTATATTTCAACCGAGTAATTTTGGAACATTTTTGGATCATGTATGTATGGATGTTGAACTTCTTTCGAATCGTACGTAGCCAACCGTGTTAATCGGAGTTGCGGGACCACGACACCGGTACACAATGGCCTACTCTTACGAATGACGTGATGGGTCTTTAACGTCGACCGTGAAGCAGACAGTGTATATTTCAATTCTATGGTTATTACACCCGCAGTAATAACCAGGGGGCGCCCGTTTTGTTCGAACCTTGAACCTTTTGCAACAAGCGGCAAACCTGCTACCGCTGGGATGCGTCAACGCCCCCAAATACTAAGTTACCAAACACCGAGAAAATCAACATTGTGTAGTTGTCTGACCAAGTCGCCAAGCTAAGCAGGTTTGAGCCTGGAATGTGCTTAGATACACGATTGCCCGTTAACACACGTGTTGCCATAGGCAGCTGTTGGGCTTCGTGATGGGCAATGCATTATGCATTATTGTACTGTACTTTTATGTTTCCTGCATTCAGCAACCTGCACTGAGCACAATGCTGAAGTATGGTCAAATAAACCCCCGTGAACTTCAAGGCGTGGGACGGGGAGGGGGGCCTCATTCAGCAGTGGGTTGACACGAGTGTTGTGAATGTTCATTGTGTATTCACAAGGCAGAGTGATTGACAGACGTATGAGCCCCGCCCTTTGTCATTCATCAAATTGGGGGGGGGTGGGGGTGCAGGGGGTGGAGGCCATGAGAGGGGCGGAGCTATGGGGTGAAAATCTCCAGCGTCACGTGATGACCCCGTTCCCAAGGCAACAGCCGGGCCATGCAGACATGGAGGCGCGCTAACGAGGTCAAGAGCTCGCAGCCAATCACGAGCTCCGCTCATCCCCCCGAGCCGGACCAATCGGGACGCGCGTTCACAGTGACTCCACCCAATCAGCTGGGCTTCTTCCCCACGCCCCGTTTGCAAGCTCGACGAATCAGAAACGAGCTTGTTGGTGTAATTTTGACTTAAAACTTTCGTGACTGCAGGAAATCATATTCTTTGGTTCTTTCGGTAAAGTCACGTAGATATAATTTTTTTATTCACTCCATTTTTATTATTATTTTATATCTACGTGACTTTACCGAAATAACCAAAGAATAGAGCTCGTTGGTGGTTCGCGAGCAACGAAACCAATCGGGAGCGCTTGCCGCCCGCCTCCAATCCGCGCCGTCCAATCGAAAGAAGCCGCTCGCGGCTCGCGCCGGCCAATCGGAGCGCGGGTTCTTTCCTCCTCACGGTCCACCCAATCGGAGGGCGCGAGCCCTCGCGAAGGTCACGCGCGGGGACGCGAGGTTGCGCGGGCGCGCATTGCGCATGCGCGATGCGTCCCCCCCCACACCACCCACCCCTTGCCCCCCGCCCCCCATCCGCACTGCTGCTGCACGCGCCGGGGACGAGAGGTGTGGATCGGCGGCTCTCCCTTGGAGCTCTCTCTCTCTGTCTCTCTCTCACTCCCGATCGTCTTGTTCCTTCCTCCTCGTGTTGTGTCTTCTCCGTCCGTGCGTCGCCTTGTGTGTCTCTCCGTTCCGTGCCGTCGAATAGTCGCCATTGCGTCTTGTGGTTCACGTTGGTTAGGGGGTGTCCTTGTGGTGTCTCGCGTTTACCTGTCTCTCTACAAGAGTCTCCTTGTGTCTCTCCGTCTGTGCTTCGCATTGTCTCTTCGTGTGTGTCTCTCTCTCTCTGTGTGTGGTTCACACGGCCGTCGAATAGTTGTGCGTGTGCCTTTGGTTCACGTGTTAAGAGTGTCATTGTGTCTCTGTAGTTCATCCGTCTCTCTAACAGTCTCCTCGTGTCTCTCTGTGGTTCGCTTGTCTCAAACAGTCTCCCTGTGTCTCCCTGTGGTTCGTATATGTCTGTCTAAGAGTGTCCTTGCGTATTCGTGTGATTCGCCTGTCTCCCTTTAATTTATCACGTGTCTTATCTGTTTCCTTGCCTACATGTGTCTGTCTCCAGCGTCCTTTGCCCGTCATTTATCTGTGCCTCCGTGTCTCATCTTTATTATTTTGTCTCCTTGCATGGCTGTTTCCGTCTCATTTGTGTCTCTCTAGTCTGGCTGTGTCTCATCAGGCTGTGTCTCATATGGCTCTTGTCTCATAAGGCTCTTGTCTCATCAGGCTCTTGTCTCATCGGGCTGTGTCTCATCGGGCTCTGTCTCATCAGGCTGTGTCTCATCAGGCTGTGTCTCTCATCAGGCTGTGTCTCTTATCAGGCTGTGTGTCTCATCAGGCTGTGTCTCATCGGGCTGTATGTCTCATCAGGCTGTGTCTCATAAGGCTCTTGTCTCATCAGGCTGTCGCATCAGGCTCTGTCTCATCAGGCTGTGTCTCATCAGGCTGTGTCTCATCAGGCTCTGTCTCACGCCTCACTCTTTTTCGTCCGTCTTCCCTGCGTGTCTGTCTCATGTCATCATTATCCGTATCATCTGCCTCTAATTGATTTCTGTCAACCTGTTTATCCTCGTCTCATTTGTCTCTCCGTGTCTGTCTAATCGCGTGTTTGTCTCGTTTGTCGCCCTGTTTCTTTATGTGTCACAGTATTGCATCGTGCTCTTGACTCTCAAGCGTCCTCTGGGTGTGTCTGCCAATCTGTGTCCTTGTTGTCCACGTGTCTCGTTAACCTCGTCGCACGTCTCTCCCTCTGTCTCCATGTGCCTCTTGTATAAGATGGTATGCCTCCTTTGTCTCTAGCACCCACGTCCCTCTGTCACTGCATATCCAGATTACCCCCCCCCCACGCTCGCCTACCGCTTGTCTTCTCGTCACCTCTGCGTCTCCTCTGTGCCACACTGTCGCCATGTCTACCCGTGGCTGCTGCTGTGCTAAGTCGGCTCTGCTTCGGCGGCGTCGTTTGTGTCTCGGGCTTTTGAGGATGGGGCACATGGAGCGTGGGAGGAGGGGATCCCCGTATCCCCTTAGACCGGGGGTCTCCCCTTAGACCAGGGGTCTATGAGGCTGGGAGGCGGGGGGGGCACGGGACAGTGTGGATCGGCCTCCACCTTACCCCACGACCTTTGCTCAGCAACCCGCGGCTTACTCTTTAAAGGGACACCTTGGTGTGGTTATTTATTAAGGGGGCCACTGTCTCGTATTCACATTGCATTGGCGGATCTTGAAATTTTGAGGGATGCTTTTTTGTGGTGGGTTTCTTTTTAACATTTTAAACCGAAATCGAAAAACAAAAAAAATGTCTCTTCAGAACCTCGACTTGGCGAGGCCGAGCCAGTGTCGTCCACCACCACCCGACCCGGCTCGCTGTCGGCGGCCTCAGTCGAGAGCGCGCTCGCTAATTGGGATTTTAAAACCGGCTCCCCTGGAGAAAAAAAATGTCGCATGGCCGCCGTCATTGACGCGGGCGAGAAGTCTCGGGGCGACGTCACGGGGGGGGCGGGGCGAGGGGAACTCTGCAGCGCCGGCCACGTGACCGTGACAGCGTGAAGCCAGAGAGGGCGTGGGGAGGGGATGGAGACCGGCAAGGAAGGGGTCAGGGTGACCTCCACAGGAGGTCAAGGTGATCCCGTGGGGGTGGATGTTCGGGGATTTCTCTAGTCCTTAAGGTGACCGCCCACCCCCCCCCCCATAGAATCCTCCCAATGTCGCAACCTCTGTCCGGACCTGTGAAAGTGGATCTGTCTGGATGATATCGCGAGAGGACGCCAGGCCTCGGGGTAACTCGCCAGCACGGTTGTGGGTGACCTTTCAGGGTAGAGGTGACCTTTCACGGTTTTTTGTGTTTAGTTAGGTTTGTGTGCTTGGTTTTGTTTTCCTTCCCCGCACCTCCGATGAGCACGGCTGGCTGTGTACGTTGCGAAAGAAGTTCAACATACATCTTGTGAGCTACCGCACCAGGGGTGTAATCTTCGAGGGCTGTCCTCTGCAGGGTGACTTTCAGACGTTGGAGGTCACTCGGTGGGTTTCATGGTGTGCGCGTTGGTGTACTGTATTTGTGCGTGACTCGCTGAGATCTGCCACGGATGGGCGCCAGTGGTGGGGGGGGGGAATTTACAGATGTTTAGCGCTTGATAATAGATAAAATATGCTGATAATGATGATTTGTGTTTACCTTACCCAGAGCCACAGTCCGATCCACCAGCCTACCTGCTGCCCCTGAACCTGCAAACATGTACGCCTGCACAAAGCTCGTCTCCTGCCCAGCACTGGTGAGTTTCTGGGTGGTGGATGCCGTGGATGTGGTCGTTGCGGTCGTGTAAAGGTGTTAGTGTGTTAGTCGTGCGAGAGCTCAGCCTGGCTGAAAGCAGAGACTCGTGTCAGCCAGGCAACGCCAATCGATGTCACGTTTAAAGGGCTGTCCCAGCTGGTTGGAGGGACGTCGCTTGTGGAATGGTTACTACTTCAAGCTTCATTCACAGTGTGTGGTCAAAACTAAGCACGTGCAGTTTAAGAGTTGACCTTGACTGCATGAAACACAGCAATGTATTTATATAACTCGGCGAGAGCACATGCACCTGTGACTGAACACTCGTTAAACGCGCTTAAAAGTTACAAATGGAAATTAAAATGCAAGCATTTGTTTAATGAATATCAACGCTCATTTAGACTGTGGCTTTCATGACTATGCCACTCCGTGGCTTATTGCTAGGAAAATGATTCCACAATCATTCTTTTTTGGCATTTTTTGTGCTTTGCATTTTGACTTCGCACTTGATTTGTATTAGACCATATGT